CCGAGATCAACTCGGGACCTTGTGCTTGCAAGACAGGTGGCTAAACCACTGAGCTAAATCCCCGGCACCAGTTCACTCTTTTGTTTTGTTTTGCTTGATTGTTTTTTTGCAGTACCCGGGATTGAACTCAGGACTTTGCACTTCCAAGGCAGCCATGGCACCACTGAGTTAAATCCCCAGCCCTTATTCTTTCACTCTTGACCAACGATTTCTACCTGTACCTCTGTAAAGGCACCTTTACATTGTACCTGGCTAGAATTGTGCATACATGGCCAGGATTGTGAGCTATGTATTTATTTTTGGATTGTGAATGATCTATTTATTATTTATTTTGAAACAGCATTTCAGCCTGACCTTGAACTCACTATGTAGCCCAGGCTAACCTTGAACTCTCTGTGATCCCCCTGCCTCAGTCTCCCCAGTGCTGGGATTACAGGTGTGCACCACCACACCTAGTTGGATCATAAGCTTTTTTTTTTCTTTCATTTCTTTTCTTTTTCTGGTACCAGGAATTGAACTCAGGAGCTTGCACTTGCCAGGCAGGCACAGTGCCACTGAGCTCAACTCCTGGGCCTGGATCGTGAGCTTTTAAAGACAAGTATTTCTCTACTGTTCATCTCTGTGGCCCCTGCTCAATACACATTTGCCACACACACGCAAGAAAGAATGGCAATAATGTTCCTCCCATCACAGAGCTTGAAACCTAGCTTATCTGAGACACCATCCTTTCCTTTCTTCCATATACGGTGAGTTTCTAGGTCCTATTGATTCTCCCTCTGCAATGTTTCTCTGCAGCTGCAGAGAAAAATTCTTTTTCCCTGAAACTGATAATCACCTTTGGCTTCTCATTTCCTCATTCCTGAATTACTGAAAATTTCTTCCTAAACTGATTTTCTGGACCTAAACTGTCACTCTCCATTTCACTGGCAACAGTGGTGGATTGGTTTTCCTAAAATGCCATCTTGATCTTATCATTCAGCTACCTAAAAGTGTCCTCTAAAGTTCAATCTCTTCAAGGTGGCACACAAGACCTCCCAGAATCTGCTCCTGACTCCCTTACTCCTTACTCCTTTGCTTCAAGGCTGTCATGCAGAGGTGGGGAGGAAGTCAATATGGATTGTAGGAACTTGAGGTCCAAGATGGCTTTGTCAAAGAGGTCTGGATTGCTTTTCTTTTTCTTCTTCTCCTCTCTCCCCACCCCTCTTCTTTTTCTTTCTTTTTGGTACTGGGGATCAACTCGGGACCTTGCACTTGTGAGGCAGGCAGCGGAACCAATGAGCTAAATCCCCGGCTTCCTCTTCTTTGAGACAGGGTCTCACTATATAGTTCAGGTTGGCCTTGAACTCACTGTGTAGCCCAAACTGGCCTCAAACTTGGGACAATCATCTTACCTCAGCCTTCTGAGTGCTGGTATTGCAGGCATGCACCACCTCCCTCTAGCTTTGGATTTATTTTCTTAAATAGCACTTGGATCTGTTTGTTGCTCAAAGCCACAGGCTCTCCTCTTTCAGCCTTTAGCTGGGAATGATTTTCAGAATAGATGGTCCTGGGCCAGGGATTTAGCTCAGTGGTTCCACTGCCTGCCTCGCAAGCGCAAGGTCCAGAGTTTGATCCCTGGTACCAAAAAAATAAAACAAAACAAAACAGATGTTGGGCTGGGGATGTAGCTCAGTGGTTCCAGCATCTGCCTCAAAAGCAGAAGGACCCAAGTTCAATCCCTGGTACCAAAAAAACAAAACAAAACAAACAGATGTTGAGGGATAGAGTATAAATAGGTAGAGTTGGGGGAGATGAGCTAGGAAAAGAGTGAAAAAAGTTTGTGGTGGATGGATTTGGATTGGACTGTAATGGACCTTAAACGTCAGCCTGGAACCAGACATGGAAGCACGTAGTTATAATCCAGAACTCTGGGAGGCTGAGGCAGGAGGGTCTCAGAGAGTTCCAGGCCAGCCTTGGCTGCATAGTGAGTTCAAAGCCATCCTAAGCTACATAGTAGGACTCTGTCAGAGAGAAAGAACAAAAGAGAGAGAGAGAGAGAGAGAGGGAGAGAAACTTAGCAAGGCAACTTAGCAAGACTGTGTATAAGTAAATGGATTAAAAATAAAATAACCTGACTAGGGATATAGTTCAGTGCAAAGGTCCCAAGTTTGATCCCTAATACTGCAAAAAAAAAAAAAAAGAAAGAAAGAAAGAAAAAGAAAAAAGAAAAAAGAAAAGCCTCCAACACCCCCGCCCCACATACACACATACCACAACCACAAATCAGCCTGATGTGAAAGAACTGGTTTATATTTTATCTTGTAGCCCTTCAGAGTCTCTAAGAGGAGAAACAAGATTTGAGTGATATCTTAGGAAAACCTGTGCATGTAAAGGATAAGTTGAGAGTGGGAGACTGGAGGGTGGCACTAGGAGGCCACTCAACTGACCAGACCTGACAGGATGACAGATCAACCTAGGGAAGTGGCATCCATCCTTACATAAAAAGCCTAAGACTTAGTTTTCCACCACCTTTCCACACCACTGTAATAGTATACATGAATGTCTGGCTGATGCCCTCAAGAACATTGGCAATGCTGAAGAGGGAGGCAAACACCAGGTTTTTTTAAGGCCCCGCTCCAAAGTCATCTAGCTGTGATTCTGAAGTATGGTTACATTGGCGAATTTGAAATCATCCATGATCACAAGGAGATTGTTGCGAACCTTGGTGTGTGTGTGTGTGTGTGAACCTTTAAGGCAAGTTAAACAAATGTGGAGTGATCACCCCTAGATTTGATGTGCAGCTGAAAGATGTAGAAAAGTGACAGAATAAACTACTCTCAATCCCGTCAGTTTGGTTTCCTTTCTCTCTCTCTTTCCTTCCTTCCTTCCTTCCTTCCTTCCTTCCTTCCTTCCTTCCTTCCTTCCTTCCTTTCTTTCTTTCTTTCTTTCTT